TCCCACTATGTTGAGTGAGTAGATAAAGGGAGCCATGACTCAAAAAAGTTTAGGATTCACTGGGTTTAGGATTAGAGATGGATTTAGGGTTAGAGTTTGCTTAGATTCTGGTTTATGGATTTTAAAGGCTAGTGTTAGTGTTATGACAGGAGTTAGGGTTTGTTTTAGTGTTAGGTTTAGACCTAGGGCTACATTTACAGTTAGGCCTGTGTTAGAATTGGGGTTACTCCTAAGGTGAGGGGTAAGGCTGGGGTTAGTATTAGGGTAAGTGTTATTATAACTTGGTACTCAAAGCATTTTCTATAGGTGTTGAATAGCCCTTCTTTAAAATGCCAGTATCCTCTTCTTGGGCTTCAACTGAACTTGAAACAGGTAATAACAAACTGGCTCCACAGATAGCTGCAACTAACTCCATGCCTAGATCTAGTGGTGAAATACCGAACCTATATTCGGTCCCAAATCTTCTTGCCCTGAATGCTGCAGATTTGTGGGGGGAGCAGTCTCTTCCCAAGCCTGATCCCAGGAGAAGTTAGGTGTGCCCAGTTTTCTTTTGTCTCTCTCTCCCTGAATACTCTTGTTCCTTCTTCCCCTTTCTGCCATTCTCCCCAATAAAGAGATCTCCTCCCCTTCTTACTCCTCCACTCTCTTTCAGCAACTTCTCTCGGAACCTTAAAAGTGATTGTGATGTTCACTCTCATGGCCCGTTTGTGTCCCCAAACACAGAGCTCACAAAGGCAAACCAAAACACCTCTTGACACGCTGCCACCAGTTGATCTCCTTATCAACTTACTTTACTTAGAAAAGATGAAGGTCCATTCAGTACTGACTTTTTAATATAACAGGTTTATTGACAGGTTTATTGATTACAGTTGGTTTCTGGAACAATTCATAAGGACATTCTTCAAGTTTCCTCAAGCTTCAATATTAACCTTCTATAGTACAGTGGGGTCTTGACTTGAGAACTTAATCTGTATTGGAAGGCGGTTCTCAAGTCAAAAAGTTCTCAGGTTAAATCTGCATTTCCCATAGGAATGCATTGAGAACCATTTGATCCGTATCTGCTCTTTTCCGTCCATAGAAACTAATGGGAAGCTGCCATTCCGCCTTCAACCACTAGAGGGGGATATTTTGTTTCTTTTTTTTCTTAGGTCAAGAAAGGTTCAGGGAAGGCAGGGAAAATACAGTCCAGGCAGTACCAGGCAGTCCGAAGACTGTCTCCCAATCCACTCTCTAAACGCTGGGAGGAGTGAGGAAGCAGACAGGCACCCTTTTCACTGGCCAACAGTTAACTGAAAGTTCAAAGCCACCTGAATATACAGTAATATAGTCTCTGGTTCCATATAGTGGTCAGTCCTGGTAAAACAGTTTGGGAAAATATATTTCTCTATGCGTGTTTTTTAATTTCTATTTTTTTCAGGCAGTGGATAAGTAAAACTGGAGGTACTGATCCTACAGATACAGTGGTCCTACTGTATTGGGGAGCTGTGGCCAGTGAATTAAGGGAGCTGTGAATCAAAATTTTGGGAACCACTGCCCTAACTTTAAGAAAAAGTGGGAAGTAGGCTTTTGGAAGTAGTGTAATTAGAGCTGCCACTTTTAGAAACTGCCCTGCTCCTCTGGTTTTCTATGCTGGCGTGACAAATTGAAATTAAGTAACTGAAGCTTTTTTTAGCATGAGACATAAATAGATAGACCCAACTAAAATAGAGTCTTTAAATCAATGGGTTTACCTAAGTGTTGTTTTATCATTCAGCAATTGTTATGTTATTGTGCAGCAGAGTAAATCAATATTCTACAAGGCTATTTTTAAAACGTGTGCAGCCCAAACAAAAAAAAATTATAACTTTGAAACTGAACTTTGGATCAGCAACAAATTTGGTACAGATGCAAGAGACAGATTGCTATTGCTTTGTTCCTAATTTGGGGATGTTTGGACAAAAGGTTTTCAAGGGACGGTTTTTTTAAAAGGAAAATTGTTTTGGCACCACTCCTGTGCAAGAACAAGTGACTCTACATGTCTCCAGATTCAAAATAGCTCAAATAAATTTTATTATGAAAGAAAATGGTTTGTTCCACCTGCCTTTTTTTAAATTTGGAAAGAATCCAGCCTGCAGGGGCTGCAATCCTTATCCTCTCCCCCCCCAAAAAAAGGCTTTTCAAAAAGGAAAAACTATGACTTTGTTATAAACTTAGCAAGCCTGGCTTAACAGCAAAAGAGATGCAAAATAGATACATCGTTGCAGGTTTGTGGGCCAATGTCTGGAGGGCAACAAAAGATCACAAAATTAGTTGGAAGACATGTTTTCCTTGAAGAGTAAAAAAACCTGGCTTCCTGTAAAGAAAGGAATGGCATGAAGTCCCTCAGAGAGGGACAGTTTACCATGTATCTCCAGGAAATTTGCATACAATTTTGCAATGCATATTCAAAGTACTTCTGAATTACAATGAACAGTTGTGGCTGTCCCAGCCTTGAGCACTTACAGTAATTTCTGAGACCAGGTTTCTAACACAAGTGTTCAAAGAGGAAATCAGCTCCAGGTCTGGGGCAATCTGATCTTTAGATCCTGTCTGTCATCATGACTCAGTTAGCAGACTCTCACAAGAATTTTTAACTCCTTCTGGCCAAACATGCATTGGTGCTGGGAAAGGGATTCTGTGTCTGGTTATAAAAATATTTTAAAAGATATTTTAAAAGATATTTTAAAAAGGATAGAGAAAAAATATTCAGAAGCTCACTCAGTTAAAATGGGAAATTACTGGTTTTTGCGTTGTGGATGGGAATTGTATTACTCAACATTAGCCAAGATTTGGTGCTTATATCCTGGACAGGTCCTGCCATAGAACCCGTCCAGACTTGGCTTTTTGGATGTGGGGTGGATCAGGCTACAAGTAGTCTGTTCAGGTAAGGGGGACCATCTGGTACACTCCTCCAATACCAACAATAAATGACCCTTGTAGCCTGATTAGCTATCAATTGAGAGCTTTCCTAGATTGTCCGTGGAGGGCCAAGTAAAGCGAAAGCACTTTTTACTTTGCTCTTCCCTCCCTTCATTCCTGCTATTTCATTTTCCTTCTTCCCTGCTTCCATTCTCTTCTTCTTCCCCCACTCCGATTTGGAATCTGCAGCCACAGTATTGACGCTGCTGGAGGGTGCTTTCTCCCAGCTAAACAGAGCATGCCAAAAAATACAAACCTTATCACTGGGCGAGAAAGATCCGCAGTAGGTCTTAAAGGGGAAGGATGGCTTGATCTAAACACATGGTTGTGGGCTTTTTCAAAAAACAAACTGTATCCTAACAATCCATAGACCATATCTAAATGCTAGTGCGGGAAAGGCTTATAATTTCAACCATGCTCACTACCATTCACAAAATGACACCAAGCAAAGGAAATTCCCGAACTAGACTCTTTTTTTCATCAGTTAACCACTTACAAAATGACACCAAGCAAAGGAAAATTCCAGAACTAGACTCTTTTTTGCATCAGTTAACCATTTCTCATCCAAACATGAAACAATTGTCATGGCTGTTCTTTGACAAGAATGAATAGTAGTGAATGCAAGACAGTATCCTGTGTAGGCCATCTTGACGGCTGCCATTGGTGTTGTCAACATTTAAGCAGCCTTTTGCTATGTAAAGCTTGGCACCTTTTTTCCAGCTGGCAAAGCGGGCATGGTATTATGCAGCAATATTGGGTCATTTCCTGGCATTTTGAATCATGGACACAGTAGCACAATATCCCACATTCACGAACAGGATGTTTTCCAAAAATTGAATTGCCTCAGTCGGTCTATGCTAGTTGAAACAAACAATTGGATCTAGGCCAAAGAGATGGGGATGAGACTCCTCTTGCACCAGGCTCTGGAAACAAAGTTAGTAACCAGACCTGGAAATGTTACACAGATGTGAAATAAGTGAGATTTCTGTACGCTTTTAGCTTTTCCTGGAAAAAGCAAGAAAACATTTTAGCAAACCTGAAAAACTTATTCATCTTAGTACAGTAATGGAGGAAGTAACTGTGACAAACCCAGACCTACTGTGTTTTAGCAAACCTGAAAAACTTCTTCTTCTTAGTACAGTAATGGAGGAAGTAACCATAGCAGGTAAGTCAAGTGCGTTGGTCTCTTTTGTGACTTCAGTATTTTAAGAAAGAATGCAAAGAGATTACATCAACATAGCACAGTCTTTTATAGTACAACACTTATATCTCCTGTTCCACCATCAGCAGGTAAGTCAAGTGAGTTGGTATCTTTTGTGACTTCAATATTTTAAGAAGGAACGCAAAGAGATTACACCAACATAGCAGTCTTTTATACAACACTTATATCTCCTGTTCCACCATCTTGCCTTTCTAAATCAGTTTTAGTTACTTTGATGTTGTCTTTTTTTGTATGTCTGTCGTAATTTCGGGTTTTGTATAATTTTTTTTTAAGTTTCTTAAAATGTCACTTATTTTATCATGTTATGAATCGCCCAGAGTGGCCCTGGTAGTCAGATAGTCGGTAGAAAAGTCAAATATATAAATAAATATTCTTCATCTCTTTCGCTCATTCTTGTTTTGTCTGGGCCTGACAACGAACGGCATGGGTCGACGAGGCTTCCCTGAAGGCGAAAAACAACAACACCCCCCTTCATGTCTGGAGGTGCTGTGGGTGCTTCTTGGGGGGGGATGAGTGAAGAGAGGGATGCCCTTCCTCTTCACGGTCCTTTTCAAGTCTTCCTTGCCTTCAGGGACACCCCGCCTCCCCCCGTCTTCCCTAACCCCAGCAGCCCTCCGTCCCTCCCGGCTCGGGTCGCCAATCCCACCAAGAGCCGTTGGGACGAAAGCAGGCCCTCAGGCGGACCCCAGCCCATGATTGGGGTGGGGGAGGGGGCGGGAAAGGAGGAGCCTGAACTGAAGAAACGCGGCGAGACCCTGCCCACCTCCCCCTCTTCCCCCTCTCTAGCGAACGAGAGGCGGGCACTCCTCTCTGAGGAAGGAGGGACTGGCCCGTTTCCCTGCCCGTAACCGGTGGCCCCGCCCCTCTCTCCAGAAGGGAAACGCTCCGTTCCCTCTTTCTCTCGGTCGAGTGGGCAGAGCGGCCGCCCGTTCCTTCGCCCCGGGGGCCGCCCCCCCTCGCGCGGGTTGTGAGGCGGCGGCGACGACGACGACGCCTTCCGTTGGAGGAGAGGGGGAAGGAGCCGGGACCGAGACGACCATGACGTTCAAGCGGAGCCGGGATCGTTTCTATAGTACTCGGTGCTGCGGCTGCTGCCATGTCCGCACGGGGACTATCATCTTGGGCACTTGGTATATGGTGAGAGAGGGAATTTCGAAGGCGGAGGTGGCAGCGGGGAAGGAGGGAGGAAAGGGTGCCTGTTGCGTTACTGCGCATGTTCTGAGAAAGGAGGGTCCAGGGGGGCGGCTTGCTTCGGTGGTGATGAGGTTCCGGCCAATGTTCTACACTGCGCATGCGGGCTGTCCAGCCTGCGTCACCGCGGTTTGATGGCAGGGAAGCGGCGCTTTGATGTAGCGGTGGCCTGCCGCGCATGCGCGTTCTTTTCGAGGAGAGGTCAGAACAGAAGTGATGATTCGCGGTGTCTTTGGGGGTTCTGACTCTGTAATCCATGGACACGAAAGCTTACATTAAAATATAAGTGTTAGTCTTTAAGGTGCCAAATGTTTTTGTCTCTTTTTTGTTCTGTTTTGTTTCTTTGGATTATTTATTTATTTATTTTTTGATTTGATTTGATTTGATTTGATTTGTACCCTGCCTATCTGGACTACCAGACCACTCTAGGCGGCTGGAGTGATTGGCGATTTTGCCTGATAGGCTTGCTCGGAGTAACAGGGCTACCTCTTCTAAAACTACAACATATTTCTGTTGCTCCTGGTCTGGAGCCCTCCTCAGTGGAGAGGCTAGAGGGATCATTGAACAGAGTAGTTCTTGCATTTCATCAAAGTTATGCCTAGTCCTGCCTCTTCGTTTCCCACCGTGCCTAGCCAGATCTTTTCAGGAAGTCCACAGTCAAGGTGTGAGAGCAATCGCCCTCTTTTGCCCTTGCTTCATAACAATTTATTGAGTGGCTGCCAACCCAAAGGTTTGGTTATGGCTACTGAGAGACTTCTGTGAATGTGTTCACCTCTTAAAGTCATCTAAGGTGTGGTCTGTTACCACATCACAGGGCAGCAGCTGGCAAACATAATGTGGTGTCATAAACTTGCTGCTAATTAATTGCATCACATAATGCTTAGGCCTCCTTGTAATGTGAGAATAGGGTTGTGTTTCCTCTTGTCTGAACCCCTGTGCTGGTTTGCACGAGGAGGGGTTGGAATGTCTAGCTTACCGGCAAGAATGTCATTTCCAACACATGTCCTTTTTCTTTCTTTTACAGAATCTCCTGTTTTTACAGTTTTGAACTGCTGGCAGACAATTCATGACCTGCTTACAGTCTGTTCAGTCTGGTTTCATTGTTTGTTTTGTTTCTTCCTTTCATTAGGAAGAGATTACATCTTCAGGCTAGGTAGGAGGGACTATTTGATCAGTCCTGCACTTTCCACACAACAGTAGTTTTAGAAAGCATTTGTGTGACTCTGCATAAGGCAGCCCGGAAGATAAGAATTTGACAAAGCACTTAATTGACAGGGAATTGGTCACAAATGTGTCACAGGGGAATTTGTTTTATATTTTACAATCTCTTCTTGTTCTTCTGAGCCTGGCAGGAAAATGTGGGGTTAACTTCACAGAGGATTAGAAAGAAGACATATTCTTCTAAGTTGCATTTCTTATGCTATAGGTCCAGAGTGGGAGAATGGTGCTTCAGTGATCGATCTGTTCTTGACTGGGTAGTGTACTCCCACACTACTGAAAAGAGTGTTTGATAAGGATACCCTAGTAAATATTTTGTAGTTTAGGGAGGAAGTGAAAAATGGTTGGTACCTTTCAGCTGTGAAGGCTAAGCGCATGTGTATGAAAATCAGAGTGAATTTGATTTAAATCAAAACAATTAAAAAATTTTAAATATCAGATTTTTTAATTTAAATCAATTTGGCTTTTTAAAAAACCTTTGATTTTTATCCACCCTGTTGAAAACATTTACACCCTCATTTAACTTACAAAACTTACAAGAAATTCTGCTAGAATTAGTAGAAATTACTTGTGTTCAGGATATGGATGTTGGCGAGCCAGTGTTAATTACACATATTAAAAGTCTCAATCACAGATATTTAACCTGCAAAATTTAGAGGAGAGCTATGCCTGATTAAAATTAGGAAAATTAGTTAACGAACTTTAAAAAAAAACATGTCTGAACTCATGTTGTAAAATAAAGATGCTCCTTTGGGAAAGTTTAATAGTTTTGCCTGGGAATGGGAGTTTCATATTTTTTAAGACTACAAATCCCATAATTTCCCATTCTGGGAATTATGCATGATATATGGATAGGCACCTAAAGGTAGTTTACCTGGGAGAAGTTACTGCTTAAACTGTATGGTTTACAGTTAATTAAGGCTATTCTGCCCAATTACCTGAGAGGAAGTCCAGTTGGGCTGTTTTATTTCTGAGTTGATTTGTAGGATTATGCCAAATGCTGTTTTTCATAGTGGGTCTTTCATAAAGAAATTATGGCAGATTAATATTTTAAAAATCAGATTGTTATTTCGTTGCATTTGACCAAACTACTTGTTATATTTAGGTTGTATTTTTAAAATTTTAACACTTTATAATGCTTTTCTAATAGATTTTAGATAGTTTATATAAATGTATTAACGGAACAGATTTCCATAAAAATGGTTTAATGAAAGAGTAGACAAAATGCAGTGGCGTAGGAGGAAGGAACTTCTTGAATACTACAGCTGTCCTTGCCCCAGATCAGGGTGATTATTTGGTAGGCTTGTGATGGCAGTTGACAGGGGAAAAACTGCTGAATTTGTGTTCTTTGTTTCGACCCAGAAAGGTCTTGCATTATCAAATACAAGATGGAATGTTTTTCAGTAGCAGTCATCCGAGGGATTAAAAGAGGAAAAAGTTCACAGGCTGTTTGGACTACAAATTATTACATAATTCCTGTTCTCTTCTATTCATGAGGCATTTTTATTTTGTTTACGTTACAGATTAGAATAAATGTATTAAACTAAGCTAAACCAAATCCTCTTTTGCAAACTTGAAGGAGAATGTTGTGGTCCGTTTTATAAAATGGTGTTTTTTTCTGTTAGCTTGGCAGTATTCAGACTCCCTTTTCCTTTAGTTCTGTGAAATTTAGTGTTATCAGAATTAAACTAGAATAATTCAAAATAGCAGTGTAGAGGCTAGGTGTTACTATACTATTACCCTAGGGTTCTCTAATATTCAGAAACATTCAACATTGTACTGTAGTAACATTTGCAGTCTCAAGTCTACTAAAAACAAAGAAGCAGGCTTATGAAATGGAGATGTAAAACTGTCTAAATAATAAAGTTATTTTTGTTGTTGTTGTTTATCTTGTACTACAACAGACCAGATTGCTTGATCCAAGCAACACTTGCTGTTTCCGTAGAATTATCATTTCTTTAGGTAATGAAGAATTTTGGCCAGAATTTTTTGAAAACTGACACTGCCTGAATACTTTGTAGTGTTCCCAGTAGATATAAATTTGTGCCAACTGACTATACTGTCCTTTGTTCTTATGGATCAGACTACCCCAGTGCGCCACTTTCCAAACTGTACTCCCATCATCAGCCTGCTCGTAGGTAGTGACATGAGTTTCAGTCTGTCATACATAGACTGCCAGCATAGAGAAGGCCGATACAAATGTACTATATGGCATAGGTGGTGTGAAGGATACAACTGTAATGCAGAAAAAACATCAAGGTAACACTTCCTAGAGGTATTGCTTTCAAAACCTACATTGTCCCAGTGGCCCCGTCCATTTCAGCATTGTGTGAGAATTGAAATAACACCTTCTTGCTTGCTTTTCTTCTCTCCACCCCCCTTTACTGTTTCAATGTTAAGAAGTAATGTTTTGCTATATCAAATGTTGTTTTCTGGAAATGATGGCATCTCTTTTCACTTGTAGGTTGTGAACCTGCTGATGGGCATTCTGCTGACAGTTGAAGTAACTCACCCAAATACAGTGCCACAAGTCGATATCCAATATGAAGTTATTGGTAACTACTATCCCTCTGAGAGGGTGGCTGGTAGGTGTATAATCTTCTTCTTTTAGGGAGTAATAATCATGTTTTTCCAGGAAACATTTTGCAGTATAAAGACATTTAAAGATTTATTGGTGAGATAATGTTGACAGCGGTTGAACCTCTTGGTTTTGCTTTTTCATCAAATTCATATTTTTTAAATGGCATTAACTCCTCCATTCCAGGCTTCCTATATACCTGAGAATATGGGAGAAGAAAGTGTATAAAAGGGATATTTCAGCACAGCAACAGCTATTAGTGTGAATCCATATACTGTGAATAAAAGTTCCTGTACAAATAAGGTGGAACCTGCTTTTAGGTCTCTAGAACTGGAGAATTATTAATCAATATCTTTATTGTTGATTTAACCATTCAAACATAACTAGTATTACAATTAAAACATATATAGAATTAGGAATATGTATACCTGTGGTTTAAGACAACATCTTAAAAAGCAGAGACATCACCTCACCAACAAAGGTCCACATAGTCAAAGCGATGGTTTTTCCTGTAGCAATATATGGAAGTGAGAGCTGGACCATAAAGAACGCTGACCGCCAAAGAATTGATGCTTTTGAATTGTGCTGCTGGAGGAGACTTTTGAGAGTCCTTGGACTGCAAGAACAAACATATCAATTATGAAGGAAACCAACCCTGAGTACTCACTGGAAGGACAGATGCTGAAGCTGAGGCTCTGATACCTTGGGCATCTCATTAGAAGAGAAGACTCCCTGGAAAAGACCCTGATGTTGGGAAAGTGTGAGGGCAAGAGGAGAAGGGGACGACAGAGGACGAGATGGTTGGACAGTGTAATCGAAACTACCAACATGAATTTGACCAAACTCTGGGAGGCAGTGGAAGACAGGAGGGCCTGGCGTGCTCTGGTCCATGGGGTCATGAAGAGTCGGAAATGACTTAACGACTAAACAACAACAATACCTGTGGAGTGTTAGCTTAAGAATACAGTGTTAACAAGTTAAGAAATATAAATAAATGCATTAACAGAATACTGGGTTAAAGATAACGTACAAACAAGTTAAAATACACATGATTTCAAAGAAATTAAGTCCTTTTAATTAACCATGTGGGTTTTTACAATAATTTTCTCAATTTTGGGGCAGATACTGTACTGCCAATATTGCTACTGTTACAGTTTTAATATCAGATAATGGATAGATGATTTTATTTGGGTCTTTTTTAACCTGGATGTTTCTTCTAGTAAATTACTCTTTATGTTCTGTATATAAAAAGCAATTACAGTAAGTAAGGTATATCTGCTACTGCTTAGACTCCACGTATTTAAAAAAATTATGCTATTGATTTGTAGGTATAGCATTCATCCACATACAGCAAAGGCGTAAGTTGAAATCTTGCTGCCAAAAATACTTTTCTAAGTGAAGACGATGACATCCCCCCCGTGCCGCTTTCGGAAGCCTCCTGGGGCTATTTCAGCAGTAAAAA